GTCAACCCCGTCGCTTTGGGCTGGGCCCCGGTAACGGCGACGTCTGTTGCAGCGGCAGGATGGGTCATCGCCGCACTGGGGCTGGTCCAGATCCCGGTCTGGGCGGTGGTTTTCTTCATCAAGAACAGGAACCTGCCCTTCAAAGAGGTGAGCGCGCCAACGCCATGTTATCTTTTGCCGGCGCCCAGTCGCTGACCTGTGGCTTCTCTACGTTCACCCTCTGTGTCACAGGCTTGCCGCGCCGCGCTCCGACCGTCCCCGCTGTGGAGGCCGTCGCCCTCGGCCACGGCCTCGGTGGCCAAGCAATGGCAGGACGAGATGAGGCGGCAGGCCGACCGCGCGCCCGGGCTGTGCACCCGCGTCAAGGAGCTGGCCGCCGCCACCTTCGACAGGCGCCTATCCGACGACTGACGTACACATGTGATATTTTTAAAAAATTCCGTCCAAATCAGCGAGTGTAACTCTGTGAGGTAACACTGGCAATGGCTGTTTTAGTTTAAGCGCGGGGGACTATTAACGTGGACCACGCATATCACCGGGGACACTCGTGTATTTAGTTAGTTTCGCTGTTGTGAATGACATGGCAAGTTTATTGGCGGCGACAACTGGAGGACGAACAGTAGGTTTTGAAGCTTGTACCCGTTTAGTAGTCGCACATGCGCACTTGTCGGTTGAAGAGACAAAAGACTTGTAACCAGTTGTGGATCATCATGACTGCAAAAGAAGCCCAGAGATAGGTGAGACAGCCAAGCAAGGCATCAGAATGGCGACACACGCCGTAGGCTAGCATCTTTACCAGTAAACAGGACCTCGGAGCGATTCATGTGGATACCCTCATAGAAAAGTCTGCTGGCGAACAAGAAGGCCTCGAGGAAGATGACCACCATGCCCATGAACAACCAGGGCAACAGCAGCACAGGGTTGTCCTGCATAGCACATCGAAAATTCAACCAGTCAATGGTCGATCGAAATTGGGAAGTTCCAATCCTCTTTGTTTTGGAGTGCACCATGCTTTACCGTGAATGCCCCCAGCGCGAGCAGAGCATAGTGCTCCACCCCGAGGACCGACGACATTAGCTTCAGGTCACGGGCGGTCTCGTTCGTCACTGCGAGAAGGAACACCATGAAACGAAGTTGACTCAATCCCTTCGACCCCGATCGCAGCAGAGTACAAGAAGGGTGTGGGGATATACTTAAGCGCTCGCTTCGGCTCAGCCTGTTCTTCCATAGCCCTTCGCAGGTGGGAGCCTCGCCGTTGAGTAGACGGCGAAGGTCGATCAACGTCACTACCTACGAACAAACGCGGGTCTGTTCTATCGTACACATACGGGTGTCAAAAATTGACAACGTCGAAGTGTGGAGATGGCTCACCGTTCCAAGTATTCCCAGACAGGCTGCATAGGTGCTGTAGCCAAAAATCTTAGGTGAGCAGAGGCGGTTGTAGAAACGGCTGTATTTCTGACAGATTAGAAAAAAACAAAGTTGATATTATACCCTGATGAGCCAATTTGGTTCCAATATCCTTAAAAAGGTCACAACTTACCATTAGAGGTGGGCCCAAAACAGTTCTAAATGGAATCCCCATGTTTAACTCGTGGCGCCGTGCGTGGACGCTCTTGCGTTTAACTTGCTCACATAGTAGAATTTTGTAGTTTTTTAAGTTTTATTAAAAGGATAAATATGGCTACCTGGTCATTCTGGGCCAACAATGACACATGGCAACAATTGTAAAACCTCCCCCCTGATTTGGCCAGGCCAAGGGGAGGAAAGAGTAACACAAGAAAGATAATTTCAAATTCAATGTCTGATATGTTTGAAATAATTATTTATTTATGTATTAAGACACATGATACTTCAATGCAGACAATGAAGGTAATAGAAAAGTCTATTCAATACCTATCTATCTACATCAATATAAGACTAGAGTAATAAAACAAAAGTTGTGCAAATACTGTACTAAGTTAATAATTTAAGAATTATGCTTTAAAATCACAAGTACCTAGAGCTAATAGTAACACTTTTAAGTAATAGCAATAGCAAGTTCATAATGAAAATCAAATGAAGTGCTGAGAACAGCTAATAAACACAACCCACACAACCTTGATATAATCACAACCACATATCAAATTTCTTGCAGAGCTTCAACATCAGCTTGCTGTTTCTTGCTCTTGAGACTGAAAATTTTGAGTAATAGCAAGTTCATTGTGAAAATCAAATAGAGTGCTGAGAACAGCCGAACAAAACCCACACAACCTTGAGATAATCACAACCACATATCAAATTTCTTGCAGACCTTCAACATTAACTTGCTGTTTCTTGCTCTTGAGATTCTAAAAATTGAGATAATATTCCACTTTCAATAGGAATCATGAGAGTTTCCACTCCATCTGTGCCACGTCGACCCTTTAGCAGATGATGATCCAAAAACTCAGTTAACTGAGCTCTTAATACTCTGTCTGAACTGGCTAAAAAGGCAGATCTACACTTCCAATAAAGGTCGTGGAAAGAAATACCTGTATTTAAAAAGACAAAAATAATTAGAATATCTTGAATTGTTACTTGATGTTAATGTTAAATATCACTTAAAAAACACTTTATTTGTTTACCTGAAAAACTCGGGTTTTTGGCATTGTCCAATTGATTTTTGGCAATTAGAAGGAAAACCTTCTTAGCATTTGGAATCAAAGATTTGAATACGGAATTCAATGATGAGAGAGCCAAAGCACCAGATTGTTGAATCAATAAAGAGCTCTCATAGGAAGTTTCTGCTACATAAGCAACAAAGGTAGTCACATCCCACCAAATAAAATTGAATCGACGTAATTTGGCTTGGTCCCACACTGCAAAGTTTTAAGAAAAATTAGAACAAGGAACACATACATTGCCCCACTGTTTATCTGTCAACCTTGTCAATAGGTTTACACTTACAGAGAGGTGCATTGATGTGGTCTATGGAAGCAATAAGATGCACTTTTGGCATCTGAGCAAGATGTGAGAAGGTTGCCTGTGCTCGATCATTACGAAATGAAGCACCATCCATGTTATTAACCAGAAGGTAAATTGGTTCAGAACTTTTTTTTGATTGGATATATTCTATCATGTCCACACATTCCAACAAATTTGCAGGTATATCTTTTACATCCAAAATCTCAGTTAAAATATCATCAACTACCTGTTGAAAAGGTGACAGTTAAAAACTATTGAATATTGGTCTCGCATCATATACTGAAGGATATACAATAACATTGACTCAAGTATATGGCATAATCAAGACTTACGTTTTTTATGGTGACACCAGGAAAAAATCCATTCACAATTAACACATTGGAATTTGAAAGCACATCTTGTTGTAAGGCATGTAATATATGTCTCTTGGAACCCAATCCATAGAGTAATATGTTATACCCCTCCCTTAAGACCAAAAGGACACCAGTAAAGATATCAAAACTATAAAAACTGCAATATTAACATTTAGATAAAAGGAAAACTTACCACAGAGAGAATAGCCATTGTTCTACATAAGAACGATGTGCATTGGAGAGTTGAGAAATAGGTTCATGGTGAGGAGAGTCCACATCATCTAACAACTTCAGAAGCATATCTTGTTGAAGTCGAGGTGTTTTCAGTTGGCTTAAGGTATTATTTGAAGTAATTTGCTTGGCACTTTGAGTTTCAAAATAAGCATCAGTAGATATTTCCTGAAGAATAATTTTAAAAATCTAGTTTTGAACAACAAAATTTAAATGTCAGTAATGGGGGTAGGGAGGGTTTAATCCTTACAAAATCTTTTTCTTCTTTAGCAGCCCTTCGAGTCACTTTAGATGATGATGCCATTGGTACACTAGATGCCTGAATTTTCTTATTTTCTACCTTAAAGACATCTTTGTTTGGGGAATCATCTTCATCCATTGACTCATCACTACATGATTCCTGGAAAGAAAAGCCAAAAGATTCCCTAGACTGATTGAAGTTGTTTAGTTACAATTTCAGAAGCAATTCCTTACAGAGCTATCGTCACTAGGTTTGAAAGATTCTTCATCTGAAGAAAAATCTCCGTCATCACTCTCAGGTTCAGCAATTGTCTTCTCTATACCTATAAAAAAATAAAAGTTCATGTGGAAAACTTGAATTATTAAGCTGTTACTAAAACTTAAAAAGTATTTCTTGAAAATTTTAATAAAATTAAAATGATTCATACAATTTCGAGTTCGGAGTCTTAATCGACCTGGTGTTTTGTCAACAGCTGATTGACTTTTCTGTAGACTTTGAGAAGAATTATCTTGCATCAGCAATGAAACCCGTGCCTTAGGAGTGGAGCAAGTGGTCTCTCTCTTACGAAGAGCACTCTTTGTTGGAGTACCATCACCCTTAGAGGGTGTTGCTCCAATCACACCTCCTATTGATACTCGTCGACTAGGGGTGTTGACAACTACCTCAGAGCCCCTACGAGGAGTCTTGCAAGGAGTTGTGTTCTCTAGAGGTTTACACGGAGAAGAATATTTGCTAGCTGACTCCTGAGCTTTGAGGACCATACTTTTACGTTTTCTAGGAGTCTGAAACCCTACCGTGGCAGGACCATCATCATCTCCAAGGAGAGCTGAAAGAATTAGATTTAAAATAATTGGAAATTTGAAAAACATAAATCAAATTTTTAAAAAGAAATTTAATTCCACAAACCTGAAGGTTTAAGAAGTTTTTCAGTAAATTCCTCGGGTAACATTTCTTCTTCAATTTTCATCAAGATATCGTCTTTCATGGTACTACTTTCATTATTAGCCTGACGCAAAGATTTTCGACGACCAGCTGAAGAAGTTGATGCAGGTATTTCAATTTTTTCCGCTGTTTTTCGACGAGCTGAAGAATACAAAGATCATTACTAACCCACAAAGATTTCACCCCAAAAAAACAAAAATTTAACCTCTACACAAACAATAGCTACCATTCTCTTTCCCATCTTGTTTCCGTATCTCATCAGCAGTTGGCATAATGTTGGCATCTTCAACAAATCTTACAGTTACCTTTCTCCTGCGTAAAGTCCTACTCGGTGGCGACGCATCCATCATGTTGTAATGAACAATTTAAATTTGAAAAACTTAAATTCCCAAACAATCTTTTCTTTACCCCGTTTCGGCTAGTTCCGGCTTTCGCGCCGTTTGCCGTCGCCGTTCGTACGTCGAATTTCTCATTATGGGCACAGAATCCAGAATCTTTCGCTTTGCACACAAAATTTCCCCTTTCGTTGGCACGGCGCTATTAGTTACTTCTGGTTATCACACTTCTCCTGAAACTGAAAAACGAGAATTTACCAATGGAAAAGAATGCATTTGTTGATGAGTAACTCTTCATCAGCTTCGGGTGACATGCTAATGAAGTAAGTGTTGCAGCTTGGACTGCATTTCTGCGTTTGTATGTTACCATCACTAGGTCCATAATGCACCGGACACCCACCGCCATATTACAGTCGTGTTCTTCATTAGAGGATATTTCGATGATATTCTACTCCTCTGTTGTGGTGAAGTCTTGGAATATTGCCGCGTATTTACAGATTTTTTTATCGACAACTGTGATGTGCCTCTGCCTCATACTGCGGCTGCCTGTGATGATGTAGATGTGTAGTTCGAGGACTTCAAGATGCCAATCTGCTCAGTTCCCTATTGTTTTAATGCTTCTTCGAAAGATTCTCTTGTTTCTTTCCATGAGTAAGTAAGAAACTTATTTACTTTTTGAACAGTGCACTTTCTGATTGCAAAGAGCTGAAATGTTATTTTTGTCAACATTACACTACCTTATTTTGAACTATATTCTCGCAAAGTTGTTATTGCAAGCAATTTGTTTTAAGTATATTATTGAACTTTGCTATTTTGTTGTACCAGGTTCCCTCATGAAACTCCACTGTTTTTGAACAAATGGATTGAAAATATTGGCAGACCTAACTGGCGTCCTGGGCTGAGGAGTGTCGTCTGTAGTGATCATTTTGAGAAAGGGGACTTTGATCGAAAAGGTCGACTTCATATTGGAAGCTTTCCCTCCAAATTTCCAGAGCCACCGACCCGCAAAAAGAAAAAGGTCTGCGAACTTTCTTATATTTCTGACAAACTCTTCGGAGAATTTTGCATGTACATGTCTAATCATTTTCTTGAAATGTTTTTAGTCGGAGGAAGATGGAGGGTCAAATAATGCACCCACCTCTAATAATGCAACTCCTTTGCAAGGTAATATTTAAAGTTCTGTATCAAAGTTTGCTTATTTTCCAAGTCCAATCTCTAATTGTTATTTTGTTTCTCAAAGGAAAAACTCCTATAGTACTCCTAACTCCAGTTGATCACAAAGCAGCTCCCGCTGCAAACCAGATTTTAAAAAAGAGGAGTACTACATCTGTTGCTAAGATATCTCAAAATGAAAGACCTGGCATCATCATCGTGTCATCTCACAAAAAAGAGACGGGCAGTACTAGCAGTGCGAAAATGCTTCGAGCTGTAAAGGATACATCTTCTGCTGTCACAATTGTAGATCTATCTGATGAAAACGAAGGGCGTTCTCTTAATGCTAATGACAGGACTCGAGTAACAAAAGAAGTCTCTAAAAGTGTAGATGAGGGTGTTCAAAAAGTTACACATAAGGGTACAAGTGATAAATCTCCTGCTGGTATTAATAAGACATCACCCTCAAACGCCTCCAAAGACCCTAATATTTTTAGGAAAAGGAAACTTCCAGAGACTGACCAATCTGCCAAACAGATAGCCTCTGTTTCAGCAAGCTTTTCCTTATTGTCATGCCGAATCTGTGGAATAACCAACAAAACAAATATTGACATATATGGCGCCGAAGGAAAGTCTCAAGGATTGGCAGATATGATTAGCAAATGTCTTCCCATTGAGGTAACTGTGATAGTCATTACATATAACCAGACAATATTATATTTCTT